TTAAATTTTTATTTTTATTAGTATGTGTCTTCAGTACATAATGATTACAATCATCTCAAGGAGTTCATATATGTTCTTGACACATCTGAATTCCTCTTTCCTCTGACCTCCATCTCTTGGTCTTCTCCTCATTTACAAAAGATCTATCTCTGTGTTTCCCATCATCTATTTTTTATTTTGCTCTTCAATTTATTTATAATCTGAGTTTCTCATACAAGAAACATCAGATGACATTTAGGTTTGTGTGTCTGATTTATTTCACTTAACATTATGGTCTCAGGATGCATCGATTTTCCTGCAAATGCCTCAAATTTATTCTTCTTTAGCACAATAGTACTTCATTGTATATAAATACATAATGTTTTTACTTATTCATATAAATCACTTCCAAAATTTAGCTACTGTGAGTTGTGACGCATATGCATGGGAATATAAGTGTCACTGTAATATGATGTCTTTAACTTATTCAGGAAGACACCTAGAAGGAGGACAGCAGCTCCTGTCGCCATAGTACTATTGTCTCCTTCTTGCTGTGCAAAAAGTACTGGGACAAGCACCCTGTGTTCTCCTTAGCTCTCCACACCCAGAGATGACTACTGGGCAATAAATTGATGTTTATGTAGCTTTGCAGCTCAGCATTTAGGAGAGTTCATTGACAACAAAGTATTATTCACTCACATATTGTTTAAAAATAGACCTGTTCTTCCATAGTAAACTCTAGATAGAATATAATAACATGTGGAATGTCTTTTTGTTCATAATCATGTTCTATTAAAATAAATTCTAAGGATGAATTAGTGAAATACCTTCACTAAAACCAATGTGTAATTGCAGAGTTCTAAACTTGATTCATCACCCTTAATTTATGTTTTTTTTCCTCAAGTAAAAAAGGAAGTTTTCTTTTCTTCTTTTTTCAAATTTATGAAAATGCTTCAAGACCTCATTTGAGTAATGAAAAGTATAAGCAATCTTCTATCTCCTGAAGAGCCAGCTTATTTTCCTGCTTGAATGCAACAACTGGGTCTCCTGTTTTTCACAAAGCAGTGTTTTTCAAAGGTTCAGATATAGACACTTGGTCCATTGTGTGAAGAGCTCATCCAGTTTGCTTTCCAGCCATAAGATGAAATCCAGAACAATACCCTTATTCCTTGGTTCTAAAATACAACAGAACTCACCTTGTCATAGGAAGCAGAAAAGGAACATGTACGGAGTATGCTGTCTTTTGACATGCTGTGTCTGATGCTCTTCTTTAGTTGCAGAGATGCAGGAAATCCATGGTCACACTCCATGCCTGGATCTATTGACCATACTTTGATAGTATTTACCCAGAGAACAATGCATGCTGCCTAGAACTTCTATCTGCAAGCTCACAAACTAACAGAGATAACTACAGTCAGTATTTGGATGGAAGAACTTCAGTAAAAGAAAGTTAGACTGTCATCACCATCTTAGTGAATTCTTGGTAGTAAGGAGGTTCCATGTGGTAAGGAATCAGTTCCCCAGGGTAGTGCCAGGCGTCTTTTATTTCTTCTGGCTTCCTTTTTTCTTTTTGCTTTTTCATATCCTTTAAATTTTGTTTTTGAATAAATTTTGTTGTGTATATTTGATACTCACAACATGATACTGTGAAACACCACAGTGAACCAGACTAACACATCTATTATTCTATGTAGTTACTGCTTTATGTGTGAAAAAGACTCCCAAATCTTAACAAAACTCCCAGTACAACCCAGTATAATTTTATTAACTGTGGCCCTCATATTGGACATTAGATCTCTAAAGTATTTATACTATACATCCACTGCTTTGTATCCTTTGACCTGTCTCTACCCATTTCCTATTTTTATCTCCATCTTTGTGTTTTGACCTGCTTTTAATTTTCATCTATTTTTTTTAGATTTCACATACAAATGAGATCATGCAATATTTTTCTTTTTGTGTTTGAGTTATTTCACTTTAGATCTCTTCTATTAAACCTCATAGGACATTTTAAACAGAAGTTTGATCCCATAACCACTGTGGAATACTGTCATGAGTTGATATCAAACTTAGGAGCATATCCCTCCAAATAAAATGTAAGCAAAAAAATGCTTGTAGAATTTAAGCAAATTACTCTGTTAGGCATTCAGCATAACACATGACACCTGTGGGCACTTAGTAATGTGTAAAAGAGCAGGAGTTTCTAATATTAACAGTGGCGTATCTGAAATCAAAGTTAAGGAAGTCTTTGAGTTACTTCAAATAGAAATACTTCCAACAGAAACAGGAACTGAGGATGTCTGTAAACCAACACTGTGAGCAGTGTGACACCACAGTACTAGCTACGTCTCAATTCATGTGCTCTTCCATGCTTGCAGCTCTGCCGCAGTTAAGGAAGACTACATCTGGGAAAGTTAGAATGCAATTTGGCCCACGATTGGCAACGAAATATGAAAATTGGAATGAATCTAAATAGCACAAGGAAACTGAACTGACGAGTGACTGGCTGGGTTAGATAGTATTGGAATCATTTGGCTGGTGATGCTAATCAGTCACCATTTTGTTTTGAAATGGAAGCCCAGTAATCAAATAAGTTTAGTAAAATTCCTTGTGTTTACAGAGATCCAGTCAAAATGATTCTGTATTTTCCTATTAAAGCATCCTAGTGGAAGTTACATTTTGCCTTTCTAATTGAGTATTTGCTTACATGTGTGTGACACACATCCCTGAATGAAGCAAAAACCACACTATCAAACTTTTACTTCTGACTTTTATAGGCATTGGAATTCTAGTTTTTTTCTTTATATCAAGCCCATACTTGCCAAAAAGATATATTTATACTATTATATGTCTATTATCTATATCAGAGGGATTATCAAACTCTGAAAAAAATCTTTTTACCTGTGTACAACAATTAATGTGAAAAGAACAACACTAAATTGGAAGCAGAGTTCTGGTTAAGCCATTTATCAGCATCATTTTACCCAAGAAACATTTTTTTTTTTTTTTTGGTCTTTTTCGTTTATATCAGTACCAGGGATCGAACTCATGACTCCCTGCTTGCAAGGCAGGCGCTTATGCCGCTGAGCTAAACCTCCAGCCCCCAAAGAAACATTATTTAATTCTACTTGGTTTCCTTATTCAGAAAATATGCAGGATATGCTGTACTTACTGCTCACCTGACAGGGTAGAAGAAATGAGCTATTTTAAGAAAGAGTGAAAATCAGGGAATAGACAATCAATAAGTTCCCGCTGAATTTGTCAGTCCTCACCAAGATCTAGTAAAAGTCTTCTTTCAAGGTGGTAAAAAAAGATGAAAAAACCAATTCGATGGCTTAGTAAAGTAGGGTTTTTTAAGTGATAGAAACAGCTTTATATTCATTTTTTAGGAAAGCCACTGTTACCGGCACTTTTATAAAAGCATTGGTTCCACTGTTGCTGTGAACTCTGATGGCCTCTGAGCCTCCCCGCCACCCCACATCGACCTTCCTGCTCTGAAGACCTTGGATGAGTCAGGATGAAAAGGAGCTTAGGTTAGGTGTGGAGCACTCAGCAGTCTTGGCCTGGTCAGCTTCACCTCTGCCCTTTCTTCCTTCCCAGAAAAGTTACCTCAGAGCAAGACAACAATGCCCAGCTAGTCCACTCAGCACTGCCACAGCAGTGAACTTCTGCTCCATTTGTCCCTATCTCTTTTGAAAGTCAGAATAAAGAATGTAGATTAATAATCAGTGTACCAAAAGCACAAACAAAAAAGTCCCATGTTGTAGAACCCAGAGAGAACTTTTTGGTTTTCCTGTATGAGATTATTACTGCAGGATCTATTCCTACATGACATTTCATATACAAAAAAAAGATTTCCTTAAGATTAATGTAATACATTGTAATTAATCCTCTTAAGTGGAAAGATGAAGATGAGCACAAAATTGTAACAAAAGTTTTTAAAAGTTATCAGCAAAACTAGGGTTTTACTGTATAAATAAGTGTATTTAAATATATTATGTTAATTACATAATTATAAATACAAGTTGGATGAAAAGCCTTAATTTGGTTTGTTCCTTTCTGTTCTGCCAATGTAGAATTAATTGCACACTATAAGAAAACACTTTTTTTTCTGAAAACACAACAGATTGCTGTGACCTGCTCCAGTAAAATATCAAACAACTATTGTGTCAGTGCTTATCTATGGGAGTGACTGTAATTGTATTGTAATGAATTATAGACCTCAGAGCAAGCTGCAGTGAGATGCTTAGCGAGTTTCAAATGCATGAGTATATTGGATTCCAGCAGCCAAGGTATGTCAGCCTTGGGTAATCAATCAGAAGGTAGGAAAAGAATAAATTAAAGGTAACCTGGTACTCCTAACACCATGAGTTTATGACTTATCACAGTGAGTGATACACAAACTGATTGCCCACCTTCCTAAGGATATGCACAATGAACAGCTGGCTATCCATAGCTGATTTCTAACGTACCACCAGTTTGTACCAGAGGCAATTAAATCAAAGATAATTTTAATATTTACTTTAGAAACACATAATTAGAAATGTAATATGCTTGATTCAGAACCCAAATATAAATTCCTTTTAGATGACACATAGCTATAAATTACTAACTTATCTATGTGATTAATCCTCTCCATCAGAATGAATAATCCAGAATTAGATACAATTATTTACATATTGAAAGTGGTAAGAGTTATCACGTGATATTAATTCCACTAATTTTACTAAAGCCTGTTGATATGCATGTAATTTTGTTTGCTTTTTGCATTTTCTAATTTTTAAAAGTACACATCTAGGCATGTTTATTCATGTTTGGGGGGGGAAATGTACTAATTCTGGCCTAAAAAGAAGCTAATACTGGGGCTGGGATATAACTCAGTGGCACAGCACCTGCCTGGCAGGCACAAGTTACCAAAAAAAAAAAAAAAAAGAAAAAGAAGAAGAAAACGCTAATATTATAATTTACTCTATTCACATTTCCAAAGATTATCTCTCTGGCTTTAATTTTCCTTCATACAGCAACCATCTACTTGGGCTTATGCAAGACAAATCATTCAGAAGGAAGGTTTGGGACTGGAAGGCCTCAACAAAGGATTTACGGCAACTTTGGGACGTCACGGAGTTTTCAACATGGTGTACTTTGGCTTCTACTTCAATGTTAAAAATATTATTCCTGTCAATAAGGTAACTATTTAATGGATTGAACTAAAATCTTCATTTTTAAGGTGTTTATCATGCCCCAGTCACTTCAGAGCGTTTACATCTATTTTCTGATTAGATCTGCAAATCAGTGTTACATATCAGATGTCATTTTTGCTATTTTGAATACAGAAGCTGAGGCTTAGAAAGGTCAAGTATATTGCCCAGTCTAATAGTACACAGTAAAGCAGAGAATTGAGCTCAGGTCTGGGATAAAATACATGTACTTGAAGACTGCACAATTTCACCTGAATGGTTTACTTTGGTAGCTAATAGAAATCTTTATAAACTGTGTTATTACTTAATTTTTATTTTAGTCACATAACTTTCTTAGAAGTTGAAATTTTCATATTCTAAATACATTTTGAGCTCATAAGGAAAAATATTAGCCTAAATTTTAAGTTTTGCCTTGATCATAATTTTTAAATTATGTAGGTAAATTAAATAGTAAATGAACTCTTCTGGGATTATTTGCTTTTGATGAAATAAAATGATAATAGTTATTATTATATTTTAATGTTACCATACAAATACCAGTGAACATAGGTTATGCTTTTAATTGATAGAATGACACAATTTCCCTCACTTTGAAGTCACACACCCATTAAGCTGCTCCTGGATTTTAGATCCTGAGACAAGTAGTAGCATGGGAGAAGTGTCTAATTCTTCATCTCTTTAGCTCTCCAAAGGCTTGAGACAGAAAGAAATTATACACAATGAAATAGCTATATACATACTTATGTGAGTGTTTATTTCATTACATCTATATTTGTGAGTGCATTTTAATGCATATGGTTTTACAATAAAGTGAATTAGTTAGTACTAAAAAAATCCACAAATACAAGGTTCATTTTACAATGAATCATTATAAATGATGGAATATTCTGCATTATTAAAAAAAAGAGCCAGAAGTCTAGTGATTTATTTTATTTTTGGCAGGCATCATGGTTTTCTGAAACTGTGATAGGATTTCATTTATCTTACCAGTTTGAAAACCAACCTTGCTAATAATCTGAACATAATATTTTATTTTTATAAAATGTTTTATTAGATACTGGCCTCTCTATATGAGGCATTCCATAAAGCACTGTACCCCAAAATGACTAAGACATTGCTCTCTTTTCAAAGGGCTTCTCACAAAGACCTGGAAAAGCCACCTGATATACACAATGAAAATGGAGCCCCATATTTAGATAAACAACACATTGGAAGTAATTAGTTAATAATATTTTTTCCAAGTCAGCTTTAAAACTACTGTGCAGACTCTCAAACTTGACTTTTATAAATTTGGACCAAGATTCTAAAAATAAGTTCTCATCAAACTTACTATGTGGAATATAGTACCATATTAAGAACAGCTGGTTTCTCTAAACTTCAAACTAAGAAAGAAAATTTTTTAAATTCAAAAATGTGTCTCTCCTTTGAAATATGTAACTCTCTCTCACACAGCATATCAGCCACTATTTCCTACCATTCTCCATTTTCTTTTTTTTTTTTTTTTTTTTTTTTTTTTGGTGGTGCTTGGGATTGAACTCATGACCTCACACTTGCTGGGCAGGCGCTTTATGCTACTGAGCTAAATCCCCAGCCCCTCATTCTCCATTTGTCCATAAAGGACACACGAGTGCAGGTTTATAAGAAGGGGAACTTTATGTATTCATTGTTTCACTGTATATCTCCATTGATCAAAATAGTGCCTGGCACATAGTGGGCCCCCATTAAATGTATATTAAATGACATAAAGGAATGAAGGAAAGAGAAGAGAAAGTAATAAAGCAGAAGCTTTTTTTGTCTTTTACTAGGTACGAAGGAGATATGTTGGCATATGAGAAAGAAGCTATATAACCCAATGCTAGTTTATAAAAAAAGCTAGGAGAAAGTTATGGTGAAGGGCTTCGAGCTAGAGTTGAATCTGACCATAATCAAGCAGAATTCTAGAGAAAAAAGAGTTAGGCATTTCAGGTCGTATGTAACATAATAGGGTCTTTATGTTAAGAAAGTGAAATGTTTATTTGGGGAAATGAGTCTAAAAACGGAGGTTTCCACATTGCCAAAATAAGTTTCCCCAAGTCGCCTTAGTAGACTGCCGGAGGAGACAGACACATTTGTTGGCAGTAGTCATGATCCTGATGACTTCAGTCGTGTAGAGAGGGTCCCACTGCGCAGGAAACCCTCTGGAGAATAGAGCATAAAAGATATGGAGAGAAGCGAACTTTTCTCGTTCAACATCTGTACAATTTTTTTCTAATTATATTCAGTGGGATGTCAGCTAGCATTTTGCCAAATGAATTTTCTGTTAGATAGCACTTCCGTATTTAGACCGTACAAATAAATGCTTACCTGATTACTCAAAATCTTGAGGAATACCAAAGTATCTCCCAATTATTATAGATTTAGAGCTAAGTTTAAATTGTGTTACCATTCTTAACAAGCTGAGAACTTGTGACTAGAACACCTCACTCGCTCACACCCCTATCTAAAGTACCATATATAAGGAAGTTATGAAATACAGTTTCTTGTTATTTTAGTGAGACTTGAATAAATTCCACTGTAATCCTTTCTGTACATATTTGACTGTTAATAATTTTAAATCATAAACTTCCTTTGACGTACTAAACTGTGTCACGTTGGCTCAGAATTTCATTTCTAAGCTTTAGTATCCAACCCCCCCCCAAAAAAAAAAAACCCTCTGATTTCTTTTCATTTAATGATTCAGGTGCCTAGGTCCCCTTCATTGGGAGAGAAGCATATGCTGTACTTAAAATTTGGGATCAGCAGGTCTGAGTGTGACTCCAGCATATACCTACCAAAAGTTTAACAGATACCCACCCCTGTGCTGGCCAACCATGGCTACAGTATTCAGAAGCTATCAGAGTATATGAGGCATTGCAAGTAACAGACAAAAATATGTAATCAGATGCATACATACTTATGTGTGAAGGAGAAATGTTCCTGGTATTAACCTCAGGAAGACTTCCCCAAGGCAGTGATACAGGAACTAAAGAACAAGTTAGCATTTAGCAGGTGACAGCAGATGGGCAGCGGCAGTTCAGATGTATAGAAGATCCAGGGCAAAGGCCCTCAGGCGGGAGGGGACCTGGATGGCTTGGGTAAGAGAAAGACAGCCCATGTGCTAAAAGCAAAGGGATGAAGGAAAGAATCTGGCTAAAGACACACAGGGCTCAGAGCATGCTGCTAATTATGTAGCACAGGAAGGATTCTTATCTTTGTCTAAAGCACACTAACATCTTACCCCATTTTCTGTTGCTATTAGAGAGTATCTAAGACTGGGAAACTTACCGAGGAAAGAGGCTTATTTAGTGCTCAGCTGGCAGCAGGGAAGATTAGGTGTCACATCTAGTGAGCACTCATGCTAAATTGTAACATAGAAGGAAAACAGGGAAAGAGACAAAGGAGACCAGACCTTAAACAGCCCATTCTCACAATAACTAACCTCCCATCTCAAGGAGTGCATTAATTCTTTTCTGAGTGCAGAGCCCACATTACCCAAACATCTCTCAAAGACCCCCCACAGCCTCTCAACACTATTACTTTGGCAATGAAATTTCAGCATGAGTTTCGATTGGGCAAACCATCAACTGGGAAGGAAGCCCATAAAAAAACCTGAAGCAGAGGAATTACCTGATCCCTACAGCTGCAGCAGGAGAATGGAGAGAGTGAAAAAGGAAAGTAAGATGTGTCTGTGGAAATGTTCTCAGTGTGAGATGGTAGAATCTGGGACTATGGTGTTCACAGTGGAGATAAAAACAAGGGGAAGGTTCAAGAAATACTCAGAAGGTAGAAGCTAGAGGGCCTGGTGACGCTTGTGGTGGGAATGCATGTCGAGAAAACCACATCAGAGGATAGAGATGATGCCTAGATTTTTGGTTTCGACAACTGAAAAGACAGTGACACCATTCAATGAGGAAAGGTAAAGCGTGACGAAAGAGAAACAGGTTTATGGGAGAACATTACAGGCTCAACTCAGAAACTGCGACTTTTAACTACATTGGAGTGACAAAGAGCGGACGTGGAGTCGGTTGTTTGGCTGTGAGTTCTGGGGCTCAAAGGAGAGATGTGAGGTGGAGAAAGACCCTGAGAAGTGATCAGTCAGTCTTGTTGAGAGGAGAGGGGCTGCCCCGTACTGGTTCAGTGATCTCTGCTCTGAGCTGCAGGATTTCAATCTGTACACTGAAAAGCTATGCTTGTTCTATTTGACAAAATTGTTTTGAGGACTAAAATAAATAATATGTGAAGTAGTTTGTGAATGTCAAGATGCCATAAAAGTGTTAAGTGTGGTGGTGCTGATGACTGTGGTGGTGTGGTGGAAATGGTTAGTATTTAGAATTACATTAGGAATTTTTGCCTGTGACTACTCTTTCTGCATTTAAATTAACACTATGTTTTTCTGGCCTAGAACAAAGTCATTGATTTTATGTTTTGTAATTTAAGCCTGATTTGAAAACTGAGAAACCAGTATTCTTTAAATTTAAACTATAATAAATCAGTCCTTTGTGAAGGGGAAGGGATGATAATCATTAAAGCATGTGGAAGAATGTCATCGAGTTGTTAGAAACCGTGATGAGGAGGTGGTGTCCCTTGGAGGCATTATTCCATCTTTGCTGTAGGCTCTCTTTGGCCTTTGGCTTTGGACTGTTTGTTTACAGGGTTATTGTTTTAGTTCCCTCCCCCAGCAATGGGTTACTGTGTTGTTCCAGGGGAATCTGAGATTTCACCAACTCTTACTGACATCACATAATTCTAGAGTTTTTAATTTTGAATTTTTAAATCCACAAATGCCTGCAATGTTTTCATCTTTGAAGTATTTGATTTCAAAGAAACTGTTCATACTGTTTATCTCTGGAGTATAAATTGTTAGGGCAGAGAGAAAGACACAGACAGAGAAAGAGAGGGAGAGAAAGAGAGGGAGGGAGGGGAGAAACTAAGCAGTAGATTAGCATTAATTTTAAAATAGGAATTCGGAA